AGGTGGGAGGCAGGAAGCTTTGAGGCTCTGAGGGTCTCTAGGGAGAGAGGGGGTTGCGGGGAGGTGTGTGAAGGCGGCAGCAGCAGGAGGCAGAGCTGGGGGCAGGAAGGGACCCTGGGGTGGGGACAGAGGAGCAGAAATAAGTCTGCTTTGGGTCCAAAGAGGACGCAGAGCTGCAAGTCCATCCGTCCGCCTGTCCGAGCTGGCTCTAGCTCAGTGCACTGTGTCTCCCTCTTAAAGGGCCAAGCAGCCAACCCGGGGGTCCTGGCTTTTGATTTTCTCTCGGTGGCAGGTGAGGAGCGGGGAGGAGCGTCCCTCCCACAAAGCTCTATGGGTCACGGGTTCTGAGTTCTGGAGGAGGGACTGGGCATGGGGCTCCTGGTGTCTTCCCAACTCTGCCTCTGGCCACATCCCAGCGGCAGCTTGCAATGGGCCCGGGTGGGAGGGAGCATTCTCCCTCGGAAACTGGCGGATGCTGCACGTGAGGGCTCCCCCTTCGGCTCCGAGAGCCCAGCCCGTTGTTAAACATTTGTGGGCACAGCGCTGGGCGGAGGGAATTCTGAGACATTTCAGAGAGAAAGGGAGAGTGCTTTCTTGTGGGAGAGGACCCTTGAGCTGCAGCCTAGAAAAATCCACATGGTCACCCTTCTTCCCTTCTGCCCGGGGCCCCCCAGGTGAAGGTGCCTCAGGGCCCTGGGCAGCCTCCCAGGGAGAGAGGACCAGTTGGGAGGGGAAGGAACTCCGGCTGGAGGGGTGCAGGCGTGGTCGGTGGGAGGAGTGGGGAGAGTGGGAGGCCAGCAGGCTGAGAAGAAAGAGGCAGAGCAGTAGGGGAGCTGAGGAGGGTGCCGCTGCTCCCGAGGGCAATGCCTTCCGGGCAAAGGTCTGGAAAGAAGGCGGGAGGCCTCAGAGCTGGTGCGGCACCCAGGCCACCCCAGGGCTGGCTGTGAGGTCTATTCTTGGGCCACCTCATGTCTGAGGGGCCCAGCTGGAGCAGGCAGCTACTCCCGGAGAGGCAGGGCCATGCATGTAGATGGAGGCCTGGGGTGGGGGTAAAGGGGGAGGAGGAAGTAGCCACAGCATTCCAGGGGAGCTGGGAGTGGGAGTAGCAGGGGGACCAGAGCCAGGCAGGAGGGCCTGGGGGTGGTGCGGGCTCAGGATGAGACGGGGGAGGAGATGCAGCCCTGCTTAGCTGGGTGCTCGCGCCCAGGGCCCAGCGGGGCGGCTCTGGCTCCATCCAATGTCCTGTCAGGGCCCCGCCTCCACACCCACAGGACACCCCCGCTCCCAGCCTGGCGCCCGAGAGCTATGGTCCGTACGGACCTTCCAGACCCTTCTCTCCCATGACAAATATGTTGGCATCCTGTGGAGAAAATGCTTATACCTCTGTCCTCCCACCCCAGCCAGGACCCCATGCACTGAAGTCCTGGGGACTTGGGGTGAGAGTGGAGGATGGGAGGCTGCAGGGAGGAGGAGGAGGAGCACTTGGGCCTTTGCTTGCGGGCGCCTGAAGTTCCCCCGCCAGCCTGTGACCTTGGCAATGCCTCCAGGAACATGCGATCCTCCTGCCTCCCACACTGCTTAGGAACAAAGGGGGACTGCCCAGGAGCTCCGCTGCTTTCTAGAAGTTTCTGGGATGTCCAACCTGAGACTGCATTACAAGTGGTTTTTGCCCGGCTGGTGTGGCTCAGTGGTTGGGTGTCGACCTATGAATCAGGAGGTCACTGCTCGATTCCCGGTCAAGGGCACATGCCCGGGTTGCAGGCTTAATCCCCAGTAGGGGGCGTGCAGGAGGCAGCCGAACCATGATTCTCTCTCATCATTGGTGTCTCTCTCTCTCTCTCTCTCTCTCCCTCTCCCTTCCTCTCTGAAATCAATAAAAATATATTAAAAAAAGATGGTTTTGCCCTAACCGGTTTGGCTCAGTGGATAGAGCATCAGCCTGCGGACTGAAAGGTCCAAGGTTCGATTCCAGTCAAGGGCATGTACCTTGGTTGCGGGCACATCCCCAGTAGGGGGGGTGTGAGAGGCAGCTGATTGATGTTTCTAACTCTCTATCCCTCTCCCTTCCTCTCTGTAAAAAATCAATAAAATATATTTAAAAAAATAAAATAAAATAAAAAAGATGGTTTTAAGCTCCTGAACACTTCCAGTTCTCTATGGGCTGTTGCTACTAGCAACCATAATTCTTATCTCCCCCATTCTGAGCTGGGATGGCCCTGAGAGCCAGGACATGGGGCTCCTGGTGAGGGAGCGGGGGGCTCGGCCTGGCATGCGCAGCTGCCCTGGGAGAGCCTGGCACACAGCTGCCCTGCAGAGCCTGGCTCAGGTGCAGAAGCAGAGAGACAGGCAAGGCCCAAGAGATGAAACTCAGCCCCTGCCCTTTGCACTGAGGCCCTGTTCTCTCTAGCCAGCCCTCTGCCTTGCACGGGGGAGGGAGAAAGGAAGTGTGGGCCGGAGTGGCATTGTCGTGGCATCGGTCACCGTGGTGAAGAGGAGAGGGTGACATGCAGCCGTCCCTGCTCATGCATGACCGGGGCATGCGGGTGACGCGGGAGCTCTCAGGCAGGCAGACCGCAGCTCTGGCCAGAGAAGAAGGGGAAGGCAGCTTGGCCTGGGAGGCGCAGTGGCTCCCAGTGCCACGGAGGGGCCGCCGAGGTCCCACGGGCCACAAGCAGCAGACGCATGCTCACGCCCGTGCCCACGCGAGGAAGGTCCCTGGCTGTCAACCCGAGTGAGTCAGTGACTCCCGCCCACGGCTTCCCTCAAGGCCAACGCGTGGAGTCGGCTCTGTCCTCTTAGTCTGATGCGTGCACCGCCCTTGACGGTGGCATCATCCGTGGGCCTGGAAGCCCTGAGGAGGTTAGCGTTTTATTTACTTACTATGTATTTAAAACATATTTTTATTGCTTTCAGAGAGGAAGGGAGAGGGGGAGAGAGAGAGAAACATCAACGATGAGAGAGAATCATTGATCGGCTGCCTCCTGCATGCTGCCTACCAGGGATCGAGCCTGCAACCCGGGCATGTGTCCCTGCCCGGAATGGTACCTGGGACCCTTCAGTCCGCAGGCTGACGCTCTATCCACTGAGCCAAACCAATTAGGGAAAGATTAGTGTTTTAAAGGTCTCCCAGAGCCCAGCCAGCGTGGCTCAGTGGTTGAGTGTTGACCTATAAACCAGGAGGTCACGGTTCGATTCCCGATCAGGGCACATGCCCAGGGTTGCAGGCTTGATCCCTAGTGTGGGGCGTGCAGGAGGCAGCTGATCAATGATTCTCTCTCACCATTGATGTTTCTCTCTCTCTCCCTCTCCCTTCCTCTCTGAAATCAATAAAAATATATTAAAATAGCCTGGCCGGTATGGCTCAGTGGTTGAGTTTCGACCTGTGAACCAGGAGGTCATGGTTCAATTCCCGATCAGGGCACATGCCCGGGTGGCAGGCTCGATCCCCAATGTGGGGCGTGCAGGAGGCAGCTGATCAATGATTCTCTCTCACCACTGATGTTTCTCTCTCTCTCTCCTCTCCCTTCCTCTCTGAAATAAAAATATAGAGCCCCACATTCCAAAGTGCTGGCTGGCCTGGCCTGCACGTCTCTCCTATTCTTAGATCAGCCACTGCCCCAGAGTTGGGACAGCAACAGAAGGAGTGGGGGTGAGTCGGGGTGGACTTCTCGCTGTGGCTCCCGCACCGGCTCTCTGCATGGACCGGGGGGGGCCCCGGCCAGGGCCCGGAGCCTGTGGTTAGCAGGGGAGGGTGAGGGAGGAGGAGGGGGTGCAGCGGTTAGCAACATTAGCTGAAGCCGAGACGGCCGGCCGTACCGATCTCACACAGGTCCCCTCGGTAGCTGGGAAGGCATAAGCATGTGAAAGAGTCGATGGCGTCCACGCAGGTGGCTCCATTCACACAAGGGCTTGAGAGGCACTCATCAATGTCTGCAAGAAACCAAGGGCCACCATTAGGACGCCCGCCGGCGACGCGGCTTCGCGAGCACTGGGGCCTCTTTCTGGGTGGCCGGCCCTGCGGCTCTCCTGAGCCCTGGGAGGGGTGGCTGGGTTTCCTGAGAACTGTTGCTGCTGCTGCTGCTGCTGTTGCCGCCATCCTGGAGCTGAGCCGAAGATCCAGCGAGGGGTCTCCTGGGTGCATGTGGTTCTTGATTGGCAAGCTGAGCGTGGAGCCCGATTTCCAAGTGCGTGAGAGAGTTGGCGCTTCGAAAGCCAAATGCCTATTGCGGAGAGTGAGTGCCGAGTACCTCCAAGATGCCTTCTCTTGAGACTGTTTCAAAAAGCCGTGGGGCCCGCCAAGCGTGGCTCAGTGGTTGAGCGTCAACCTATGAACCAGGAGGTCATGGTTCGATTCCCGGTCAGGGCACATGCCTGGGTATCTCCAGTAGGGGGTGTGCAGGAGGCGGCTGACCAATGGTTCTCTCTCATCACTGATGTTTCTCTCTCTCCCTCTTCCTTTCCTAAAATTCAATTAAAAAAAGAAGCCATGGTGGTCTGACCTGGCGTTGAGCAAGGACGTTGAAGGCCAAGTTCTTGACGCTTGGCTAAACTCTTCCTTTTCCCTCGCTTCCTCTGTAGCTGTGCGCCAGGGGCGGAAGGCAAGGCCATGCAACGCTCGAGTGAATAAAAAGGTCTGCAGAGTAGGAAACGATGAAAAAATGGCAGGATGGGATGCGTGCGTGGGAACCACGAACATCTGTGGGTTGCGGACACCGTTCTTGTCTTCAGTAAATAAGTTTTTGGAGCATCTTCTGAAGATGAAGCCAGCATTGTTCTCTTGGGGGCGGGGGGAGAGCCAGAAACCCAGCCCAACCCTCCCCCAGGCAATCTTGTTTGTGTCTAAGGGTTCTGGTGACGTGGACAACTCCAGTGAGTCACAACTTCAGAGGGGGTCCCCCCTGGCCGGTGGGAGACCCGCGTTTGAAGCCGGTCGGCGAGGCACTTCGTAGGTGGCCGCCTGCCAACACCAGCAGGTGGGACACAGGCAGGTCCCCATCAGCCTCTCCTTCCCAGGCCCTCTCTTCCCTTCCGTTCTTCCGGTCCAAGATGTTCTTTCTGACCCCACTTCTTCGCAGGACTTGAATCGGTACGTCGTTGGCCTTTGCCTCGAGGTTTTCTCCACTGGCCGAGGTGAGCATAGCATCTCCTAATCTCGTCTTTCTGAGAAGCCGGAGACCTTGGTATTTGGCTCGTTCTTTCCTGGGCGACGTCCCCTGGGAACATGTTGCAAGGGACTGCGAAGCTCCTCTTCCCAGGAGATCAATGAAAGTCTGCGATGAATGGGTTCCGCGGGCTCAGGGGGCACCCGGATACGTGGTTCGGCCTCGGTATGTGCGTCCGTGCTCCTACAACCTTCAGGACCCGCCGTGTCTAGGGGGGCCTCTACGTGAGCAGGGATTAGTTCTCGCCTCTCACAAGGGCAGACGACGCCTTACAGCCAGTCCTCCGATTAGAAGGCAAACGCACTTTCTTCTGGACCCTTCTCCCTGCCGCCTAGCCGAGGGTTGGGTCTGTGCAGCGAATGGGTGGCCTGCGGGCCTCTGCCTCTTCCCGCGAACTTCTTAACTTCACGTCGTCGGGGGAGTGCACGCCGCGGACTAGGCACCGACAGTTCCGAGTCTGGAACTGTTCCAAGCAAAACCCAAATGCATGAGGGACGGACTGCAATCCCAGCATGCACTTGGGTTCCCAGCAGCAGCAGGAGCAGCAATAGGTCAGGCTGGTGGGCCGGCGGAAGCTGGGGGCGACCTCTCTCCTCTGTCCAGTAGCGGCGTCATTGCGGGAGACGGGGAGCACTGGGCGAGGGGGGGGATGAAGCAAATGTAGGCGCTAAAGCAGTTGTACAGAGCGGCGGAGCGGGGCAGGGGTGGCCTGTGGGCGGAAGAGCCAGATGTCAGCCCCGGGGCCTGTGCCCAGACCACGGAGGAGGGGGCAGGAGGGGCAGAGGCCCTGGGGAAGTCCGGCCAGGTGGCTTCCAGGTGTTCTGGCAGCTTCTATCCTCCCCGCCCCCCCCACTCCCACGTGGCCTGAGGTTTCAGGGAGCAGTTTTGTTTTGTCGTCTGTGTGCGGCCAGGACACAACATCTGAGAAAGTGGGGGGGACCAAGGGGAGCTGTACAACTCAAGGAGCCGGTTCCAGGGCTCAGAGCGGTCTTGTGCAAGGCCCCTGGGTTCACACACGAGGAGGGAAGGAAGGGCGACCGTCCTGGAGCCCAGACAGCCTGTGGGTGTCTCGGGGGGTTCAGGGAGGCTGCGAGTCAGCATCCCCGGCAGGAGGAAGAGGGCTGACGGCCCCGGACGGGGCTCTTTACGGCCGCCCTGGCCCTGCAGGCCACCTCTTTCCGTGAAGGGCAGTTAGGACATTGCTCATCTTCTGGAACCATGAGAAGGAGTGGGGCCGGCCCCGGTGTGAGCGAGCGCAGAGAGGGGACCCCAGACAAGGTGGCGGCGGGTGGGGACGGGGAGGGCTGTGGGCAACGGGCAGATGACATGAAGGAAGAGAGGAAAGAGAGGGACCCACGATGTCTCAGGAATCTCCCCTGAGCCACATGCTACGTCTCACACACATGATCCCCCCAACAGGCCCGTGGCAGGAAGGTCACTGCGCCATGTGACCAGGTAAGGGGACAGGTGAAGTGACCACGCTACTCACAAAGCTGTCTGGGAAGAAAGCCTTTTTAAAAGACATGGTCAGAGCCCAGCCGGTGTGGCTCAGGGGGCAGAGCATCGACCTATGAACTAGGAGGTCACAGTTTGGTTCCCGATCAGGGCACATGCCGGGTTGTGGGCTCCATCCCCAGGAGGGGGTATGCAGGAGGCAGCCGATCCATGACTCTCTCATCATTATCTCTCTCTTCTTCTCTCTCTCTCTCTCTCTCTCTCTCTCTCTCTCTCGTCTTCTCTGAAATCAATCGAAAATATATATAAAAAAATAAAAGACGTGATTAGAGAAAGGCTGTCCTTACATGAGGTTAGTTAAGGTCCACTGTCACCTATTTCTAATGTCAGGGGCTCGGGGACGTGTGCTGTGACTTCTGATACCAGGGTCACACTTTTGCTTTCAGTATCAGGTTGGGGAAGGGGCTGCTAAGAATGAGCTGCTGGATCACACCTGACCTGAAGCCAGCCGTGAATCCCGGAGCTCGGGGACAAGCTCTGCGTTATTTCCTGCAGGGCACGACGGGGACCCCAACCCCACCCAGACCCATGCACGCAGGGACTTTCCTCGGAGAGGTCTGCCCTCCATGATGCGCAATAGCCCTACCGAGTGTCCCCACAGGGGCCACGGGGCGTGACCGGGGATCCCCAACACACACCCTCATTCAGCATTTCTTTGAAGTCTCAACTTTTATCTTCAAAATTCAAGCACATGTCCTAGCTGGTTTGGCTCAGCGGATAGAGCATTGGACTGAGGACTGAAGGGTCCCGGGTTTGATTCCAGTCAAGGGCACATGCCTGGCTCAGGTTGCAGGCTTGACCCCCCAGTGTGGGGCGTGCAGGAGGCAGCCCATCAATGATTCTCTCGCATCATTGATGATTCTCTCTCTCCCTCTCCCTTCCTCTCTGAAATCAATAAAAATATATTGAAAAAACAATTCAAGCACATTTCGCATTCCGCTCCTCAAACCACCATGGGCTACACTAACTATATACTTCTCCGTTTCATTACTTAGCTTGACTTTTTTCTCCTAAACCGCCATGTAGAACAATGCGGAGCACTGGGCGAGCTCAACCTTCCTAATGCCGTGACCCTTTCATACAGTTCCTCATGTTGTGGTGACCCCCAACCATAACATTATTTTCGTTGCTACTTCATAACTGTCATTTTGCTACTGTTATGAATCGTCATGTAAATATCTGATATGAAGGATGTATTTTCATTGTTACAAATTGAACATAATGAAAGCATAGTGATTCATCACAAAAACAATATGTAATGATATATGTGTTTTCCGATGGTCTTAGGCGACCCCTGTGAAAGGTTCGTTCGACCCCCAAAGGGGTCGCGACCCACAGGTTGAGAACCGCTGCCCTAGAAAGATGTGGCTTCTAGTCCCAGGTAGTCTGAGCAGCCTGAGCCTCAGGTGACCTCAGTGGTCCCCACCCTCCCCTGCCTGCATTCCCCGCGCCATGAGGGTCTTACCTACATCGCAGTGCTCGCCAGTGTGGCCGGGGGGCACGGGCATAGCCCGTGTCCCCCATCTCCTGGCAGGTCCCAGGGCCACAGGGATCCTCGCTGCAGGACCTGGCTCGGGCTGCACCCCCCGGGGAGAGGCTAAGCACCCAGCAGCCGGCCGCCTGGGGTGCGGCGCAGCCTCCCAGACCTTGAGGTTGGGGCACGAGGTCCCTCAAGCTCACGAGGCTGATTTGGGGTCAGCATGTTTCTGGGGCGCCTCCTGGACACCTGGCCTTGGTACCCGGACCCGGGCACACAGCAATATGCAAGGGACCCCAGAACCAAAGTGGGGGGAAGGCTCAGCTGCGGGTGCCCGGTGCTGGGATGCTGCTAAGGTGTGACAGTCACTACAGTCCGGAGGAGTCCCTTGGACTGGGGTCGGGGTGGGGACCCAGGGGCTCAAGTCAGGACTCAGCCCAAATGACACCTCATCATTCCTTAAATTGTGCTGGTTTGAACCCTGCACAAAGTAAATATTTGGGCATAAAGGCCACCAGGAGGTTCATTCTCTCATCCTACACTCACTCATGGGAAGGGGCCAGGAGCACAATTTCCAGCACTATTCAAGCACGTCAAACTTGCTTTATTGAGGCCTGCGGCCCGCCAGCCGCGAGTTTGACATGGTTGACCCATAGCCATCGTTCCCTCTCTCTGTGCCAAAGACAAATAATCAGGTTCACACATCAATGTTCTCAAGATGGAACTTAACGGTAACCATCACTAATCTTTTTTTGTTGTTGTTAATCCTCACCAGAGGATATTTTCCCATTGATTTTTAGAGAGAGTAGGAGGGAGACAGAGACACACACACACAGAGAAACATCGATGTGAGAGAGACACATCAATTGGTTGCCTCTGCACATGCTCCAACCAGGGCCGGAGATCAAGCCTGCAACCGAGGTACATGCCCTTGACCAGAATTGAACCTGGGACCCTTCAGTCCACAGGCCGACGCTCTATCCATTGAAGCAAACTGGCCAGGGCACAATCACTGATCTCTATGAGTGTGTCCTGTGTGCCTACTCTGATGCTCAGTGCTTGTTTTATATATAGTTACATGCTGTTTAATCTTCCCCGGTCCTATTCCCATTTCACGGGTGAGGATCAGAGAGGTTAAGAAACTTGCCTGAGGCTGCACAGCTCATCTCTGGGGGAGCTGTGCTCAGAGACTTGAATCTACACCGCCTCCTACTCTGCTACCGTCTGAACTAGCCAAACACATCGAAAGGAAAAAGAGATGTCAGCCATACCTGTAGTGGTTGCCTCCGATCCTTCGGTCCCTTCTGCCGGAGCTGGGATGGAAGAAGCGTCCGTTGGGGAGACGGCTGTTTCGGCCGTTTGGGCCTCTTCTCCCGAGTGCACGGGGCTTGAGGACTCCATTTCCAGATTCGCCTCTGCAGGGCGCTGGGGCTGCTGGGTCCATTCAAACTCTGGGACGCTGGTGCCCACGACAACACCCAGTCCCGAGGCGTGACCAGATGGGTCCCCGCTGATTTCCGGCCCATCTCCAGAAGCCCCGGGAGTGGCCGAAGGCCAGCCCGAGGTCTCCGTGGCCACACCGTAGGTGGTGGCCGACTCTCCACTCATTCCCGACGGGGTGGAGCCCTCCGTGGGCCCTTCCTGGAAGGTGGAGGGGCGGCCGCTCACTCCCAGGCCCGAGGCTCCCTCCAGGTCAGCTTCGTGGAAGGCGGAGGTGGTTTCACCCAGATCAGGGGTCCCCGAGGCCACCCCGCTGGCCTCAGGAGCAGCAGACGCCTCCACCCCAGCCTCAGGAGAGGCAGACGTTTCGCTGCCGGATTCTGGGACCGATGACGCCTCGACCCCAGACCCGGGGAAGCTTGGCGTGGCTCCACTGAGGTCCCCCGATATAGAGGCTTCTCCGCTGGACTCAAAAACCTGGGGGGTGTGTGTCAAAGGGGGTCTCTGGCCGAGTTCCTGGGAAACAGTTGGTTCCGTGACACCCTCCACGAACTCAGAAGTGATCAGAGTGACGTCAGGCAGTCCCGAGGCCTCCCCGCTGGTGCCCGTGGCTGCAGAAGACGCCCCACTGGCATCCGTGGAGCCGTAAAAGTCCCCGCTGAAATACGGGGTACTCGAAGGCTCGCCGCTGGGCTCCCCCAGCCCGGACTGCAGCCCGCTGAGGTCCGACAGTCCAGAATGGTCTCCAGACACGTCCGGCGCTCCGGAATGGGCACCGCTGAGTTCCAGAATGCCCGAAGGCCCCTCTCCTGCTTCTTGGGCTGTCGGAGGCTGGGTTACAGATTCCACCAAAGTCCTGTCGACGAGCGAGACGGTGGGGAAGCCCCGTGGAAGTCCACTGCCGTCGTAGGCTCCGGAGGGCAGGCCGCTCCCCACCTCGGCGCCGGAGGCCTCCCCACTGACCTCGGCGTCTCCGCTGGGCAGGCCGCTGAATTCTGGAGGCTGCGACGGAAACCCGCTGGAGGCAATGGCCCCGGACGACTGTCCGCTGACGTCCACCGTCCCGGAGGTGCCCGAGAGATCCGTCTCCCCAGAAGGGAGGCCGCTGAGTTCCACGGACCCCAAGCCTTCTTCTTCTTCCCTAAACGGAGTTGGGGTCACCTCCACAAAGGTGCTGTCCACGAACGTAACGCCGGAAGCGTCCCCGCTGCCACTCGCGGCGCCAGAAACCAGGTCGGGGATCCCCGAGGGGGCCCCGCTGAACCCGGGCCACCCCGAGGGCTGCCCACTGAGGTCAGGGACCCCAGACGTTTCTCCACTCGGGTCGGTCATGCCAAACGGGCGGCCGCTGCCAAGATCATCTCCAGAAGCTTCTCCGCTGACACCTGGCTGTCCCGAGGACTGCCCGCTAAGCTCGGCCATTCCAGACGTCTCCTCCGGAAACCCCGACGGCTGCCCACTGAGCTCAAAGAGCCCGGATGTCCCCCCGCCGAGGTCAGGGAATCCCGATGGCTGCCCACTGACACCAAAGAATCCAGATGTTTCCCCGCTGATGTTGGGGGATCCAGATGGCTGGCCGCTGAGTTCAGCTCCCGAAGGGAACCCGCTCGCGCCCCCGCTCACATCCGGCTCGCCGAAGGGCAGCCCGGATACCTCGCCAGCACCGCTCACGCCGACGGTGCCCCGCCCCTCCAGCTCACTCGCCGTGGCGGCTGTGACCACTTCCACCAGCGTGGTATCCACCAGGGAGACCGTGGGGAGCCCTGAGGGAAGCCCACTGAAGTCCGGCGCGCCGGAGGATGGGCCGCTTCCGAGGTCCGTGCCAGAATACTCACCGCTGAACCCAGAGGGAAGGCCACCGGCTTCCGGAGCCTGCCCGCTTCCGAGAGCTCCAGAAGGTACCCCACCCAGGCCCGAGTCTCCAGAAGCTGACCCAATCGAGTCTTCTTTTCCAGAAGGCAACCCGCTGAGGTCCTCGGGTCCAGAACCAGAGGTCTCTAGACCCTCTCCTCCAGAAGGAAGTCCACCGAGGTCCTCTACTCCGGAGGCAGAACTTTCTGGAAGACCCTCTCCTCCAGAAGGAAGTCCACCCAGGTCCTCTACTCCAGAGGCAGAAGTTTCTGGATGAATCTCTCCTCCAGAAGGAAGTCCACTCAGGTCTACTCCAGAGGTAGAACTTTCTGGATGAGTCTCTCCTCCAGAAGGAAGTCCACCCAGGTCCTCTATTCCGGAGGCAGAACCTTCTGGATGAATCTCTCCTCCAGAAGGAAGTCCACTCAGGTCCTCTATTCCAGAGGCAGAACCTTCTGGATGAGTCTCACCTCCAGAAGGAAGTCCACCGATGTCTACTCCAGAGGTAGAACTTTCTGGATGAGTCTCACCTCCAGAAGGAAGTCCACTGAGGTCTACTCCAGAGGTAGACGTCTCTAGATGACTCTCACCTCCAGAAGGAAGTCCACCGAGGTCTACTCCAGAGGTAGAACCTTCTGGATGAGTCTCACCTCCAGAAGGAAGTCCACTGAGGTCTACTCCAGAGGTAGACGTCTCTAGATGACTCTCACCTCCACTAGGAAGTCCACCCAGGTCCTCTACTCCAGAGGCAGAACCTTCTGGATGAGTCTCTGCTCCAGAAGGAAGTCCACCGAGGTCCTCTACTCCGGAGGCAGAGCCTTCTAGACCCTCACCCCCAGAAGGCAGCCCCCCAACGTGAGAAGTGTTGGACCACGTAATTCTATCTTCCTCCCCCGAGGCCAGTCCACTTCCCACAGGCAGGCCTGAGCCCGCAGCCGAGGTGACACCACTGGAGTCAAGGTCTTCCGAGGGCTGCCCACTGGCGTCCGGGTGTCCTGAAGCTTCTCCACTGGCTGAGAAGTCACCACTGACTTCCGGTGCCCCCGATGCCTCCCCGGAGCCCGGCAGCTCCGTCCCACTGGGCACTGGGGGTGAAGGTGTGAACAGCGGCTCCTGGGAGGGAGCTGGCATCTCCGAGGGGGCTGGCGTCTCCGAGGGGGATGGCTCTTCTGAGGGGGCTGGCTCCTCCGAGGCCAAGGGCACTTCTGTGGCAGAAGGGCCTTCTGTGCTCTCCTCTGTGGCTGTGCTAGTGGGAGGCCATGTAGGAGGGACCCCTGGAGGACGAGAGGAAGAAAGACAAGGTGGGGATTTACTAACTCTGCCCATTTTAAGCTCATGCAGAGAAGCCCAATTCCGTTCCCTTCGCAGTAACATTTTTCTTTGGCCCGGCTGGTTTGGCTCAGTGGGTAGAGCGTCGGCCTGCGGACTGAAGGGTCCCGGGTTCGATTCCGGTCAAGGGCACATGCCCGAGTTGCGGGCTTGATCTCCAGTGTGGGGCACGCAGGAAGCAGCTGATCCACGATTCTCTCACATCATTGATATTTCCATTTCTCTCTCCCTCTCCCTTCCTCCCTGAAATCAATAAAAAAATTAAAAAAATTTTTTTTTCTTTCAAGAGCTCAGAGATGTGCTCAGACATTTTCTAACGGAACCTTGCACAGTATCTCTGGAAAGAAAGGGGAAAGGGAGGGAAAGAGGGAGACCGAGAAACTCCCCAGCACCCTCAGGCTGTGCTTTGCGGGATTTTAGGGGGTGCCATCCACACAACCCACTGGGTGTGGGGGGCCTGGCTTTGTGAGATTTGCAGCGGTTCTCAACCTGTGGGTCGCGAACAATGAAAATACATCCTGCATATCAGACATTTACATTACGATTCATAACAGTAGCAAAATTACAGGTATGAAGTAGCAACGAAAATAATTTTATGGTTGGGGGTCACCACAACATGAGGAACTGTATTAAAGGGTCGCGGCATTAGGGAGGTTGAGAACCTTCCTAATTTAGGGGGTGCCATCCACACAACCCACTGGGTGTGGGGGCCTGGCTGTCACGGAGGGCAATCAAGGTCACCCTTCAAGTACTTGCACATCCTCATCTCATTGTATCTCCAAGTGTGGTCCCTGGACCAGAAGTACCAGCGTCTCCAGACATCTTGGTAGAAAAGCCAATTCTCAGACCCCACCCCAGCCCCACGGAATCAGACTCGGGGGCGGGCCCAGCACCCCCACGATGCTGCTGCTTGATGGGGTGTGAGAATCATTCCTCTGAACCCAGCCCCCCGAGGCCGGGAAGGCCACACAGACCTGGCAGCGGCAAGGTGCCCGCGGGGGTGTAGGCCCGTTCCCATTCCGTGTGGTTTTCTGGCTCCATGGTGAAGTCTGGGACTGCAGTGGTCTCCTCCCCCGAGGGGACAGCAGCCACGCCGGGTCCCACTTGGGGGGTGATCCAGTCCTCCACGTCTGAGGGGGGTGTGGGCGTGCCACCCCGATCTTCTCCGGGAGAGGGTGCAGCTGAGACACCTAGAAGAGATGTGGGGGTGAGGGTTCCTTCTCACCAGCGCCCCACCCCAGCTGGCCCTTCTCGAGGGCAACCAGGGGAGTCTGAGGTGAGCCAGGCCTGTGCACGCGCCTTTTTGGGCCTCGACCCCTCACCTCCACCTAGCAATCCAGAGAGATCACTTTAAAAAAATACATATTTTCTATTGATTTTAGAGAGGAAGGGAGAGGGAGAGAGAGATAAAAACATCAATGATGAGAGAGAATCATTGATTGGCTGCTTCCTGCACGATCCAGGATCGAGCCTGCAACCCGGGCATGTGCCGTGACTGGGAATTGAACCGTGACCTCCTGGTTCATTGGTCAATGTTCAACCACTGAGCCCCTGTGGCCGGGCCGGAGAGATCACTTTTGACCTCCTCAATTAATAAGAGCCGTTTTGCAGCAACTACACTCTCAATATGCACATACCACTGGCACTTTACTTCAGGGTGGTATGGGGCATCTCTCCTACAGAATTTATTATACACTAGAGGCCTGGTGCATGAATTTGTGCACTGGTGGGTCTAGCGGGCCTGCCCTGATGGGGGCCCTGAGAGAGAAACATCCATCAGCTGCCTCCTGCACACCCACCGGGGATGTGCCCGCAACCAAGGTACCTGCGCCCTTGACCGGCATCGAACCTGGGACCCTTCAGTCCACAGGCCGACACTCTATCCACTGAGCCAAACCGGTTAGGGCTACATATTACCCTTTATTATATAGGATGCCAGGCATGGTTTAAAGGTGTTATGCATACCAGAGCATTTTATCCCATAATCACCATAAGAGAGAGATACTGTATGTCACTTACAGATGAGGAAACGAAGACACAGAATTAAGTGACTTGCCCAGAGTCAGTGGCTTTTAAGTGGCTGAAGTTTGAACCCAACCACGTATCTGGCAGCATGCTCTCAGTGTCATGGGTCAATTAAAAGCATGAATTGCTGCCCGGCTGGCGTGGCTCAGTGGTTGAGTGTCCACCTATGAACCAGGGGGTCACGGTTCGATTCCCGGTCAGGGCACATGCCTGGGTTGTGGGCTCGATTCCCAGTAGGGGGCGTGCAGGAGGCAGCCGATCCATGATTCTCTCTCATCATTGATGTTTCTAGCTCTCTCTCCCTCTCTGAAATCAATGAAAACATATTAAAAAATACAAGTTGTTGATGTTTAGTCAATAGAATAATTTGACTAAACTCATCATGAAAATACTTTCAAAGCAGGAGAGAATTTGATTTGTGTACAAATTATGTATGACAGCAAAGCTACCATTTATTGAGCATTTACTATGTCCCAGGCACTCTGTCAAGTGTTTTCTGTGCACTATCTCAGTTAATCCTCAGCCATATCATGATTTTAAAGATGAAACAGAGAAACTGAGAAGTTAAGTGACTTGCCCAGAGTCACACAGCTACTAAGCAGCAGAACCATAATTAAAATGTAAAAAATCAATAAAAAATATTAAAAAAAAAAAAAAGATGAAACAGAGAAACTGAGAAGTTAAGTGACTTGCCCAGAGTCACACAGCTACTTACTAAGCAGCAGAACCATAATTAAAATTCAGGTCGGCCTGAATTCAGAGCCCAGGGTCTTACTCACTTCTCTCTCCTTATCTCTGGGAAACCTTAGAGCAAGCATGTCAAACTCGCGGCCCTCGGGCCGCATGCGGCTGACGACAAATATTTTTGCGGCCCAGCCAATAGGACGGTATGTAAGAAACGTTTTAATAAAAGTTTTGTAACTTAATTTTTACAATATCCCGTTATACATAATTATTAATAATGAACCTGTGGACCACATGTGGCCCACAATGAATATTTTTGTAGCCCAGCCAATATAATGGTATTAGAAAGGTTTTAATAAAAATTTAGTAACTTAATTTTTACAATATCCTGTTACACATAATTATTAATAATGAACTACAACGTTCGATAACGACTGATTACTATCATCGTGTTGCATTCATTTCCCTTACGCGCCTTACGCACAGGCACACCATTTCTCTCCACTGATACCAGCAGCGAATATTTTAGCAGCCGATGGCCACGTCATTCGTCTTGGACTGACTTGTTTGGTGTGCGCCACAGGAAATGTTTCACTTTTGAAGAACAAAAAAAATAGGTTTATCTGCGTTACGCTTATTCATTTGTGCCGTTATTCAGTGTCTGGTAAGTGAATGTTCAAGAAAAAAAATTCTAATTTTTATTAAAATGCCCTATTACTTATTTTTGTTGCTACTTCATAACTGTAATTTTGCTACTGTTATGAATCGTAATGTAAATATCTGATATGCAGGATGTATTTTCATTGTTACAAATTGAACATAATTAAAGCATAGTGATTAATCACAAAAACAATATGTAATGACATATGTGTTTTCCGATGGTCTTAGGCGACCCCTGTGAAAGGGTCGTTCGACCCCCAAAGGGGTCGCGACCCACAGGTTGAGAACCGCTGCAGGATGTATTTGCCTTGGGGTCAAAGCCCAAGGTCACGCTAGCTCCCGAGCTGCCCCTCCCCCAGACAGACTGACGTTTTCTTGTTTAGATGGACAGGGGGAGTGGACAGGGGCCAGGAGGGCTCAGCCCCGGGGAGTCACCCCCCAGGCAGAAGTGGGGGCTGGAGGAGCGGGGAGAGCACCTACCGCGGAAGCAGAAGGCGTGGTGCCGGGACAGTGGGTCCAGGAGGCCTGTCTGGTTGGGGTAGAGGTAGACGGTCCTCACGCCTGGCTTGTCCCCGCCACAGGCCGGCCGAGGGGTGACGATGGGGTAGCGGAGGCTGCTGTCGGCCAGCCAGCCGGCATAGCACTTGTCCAGGCCGAGGCTCCAGGCGGCGTAGAGCTGGCCGGTGGAGGCGAGCGTAGCGTTGTGGGATTCACAGAACTCCAGGGCTTCCTGGAAGGTGAACTGCTCCGGGCGGGTGACGAAGAACACCTCCCCTGGGGGCAGAGGCGGGGGGCAAGGGTGACCCTTCACGCCCACAGCCAGGGCGGGCCCTGCTCACCCACGGGCGGGGCTCCCTAGGCCCACACCCGCCCCCCAGCAGGGGTGGGACACCTGCCAAGGCAGGCACCGGTTAAACACCCTATCCAGTACAAATTTTTGACTATTTCCCCCTTAGATCTTCCGGGACACTGGGGAATAGGGTGCCATTGGGGTGTCCTAGGAGTTGGGAACTTTCAGTGCTGAAACCGGCAAAGTTGCAGCCAAACTGGGAAGGTTTGGTCACTTACACTCCCTCTGGGCCTCCTTCCTAGCTTGCTTATTTATGTATGTATTTATTTTTAAAAAAATATATCTTTATTGATTTCAGAGAGGAAGGGAGAGGGAGAGATAGAAACACCAATGATGAGAGAGAATCATGGATCGGCTGCCTCCTGCATGCCCCCGACTGGGGACGAGTCCGCAACCCGGGCATGTGCCCTCGACCGGATTGAACCCGGGACCCTTCAGTCCGCACAGGCTGACGCTCTATCCACTGAGCCACACCAGCTGGGGTTTTTTTGTTGTTGTTTGTTTTCACTGCAGGACTTCTCAGAGCCTTTGATTTGGTCGTGGGCATTGGGACTCTCCAGGAGGCAGATGGTAGGTAGATATTTAAAAAAATGGATTTATTTATCCACAAATGTGGGGGTGGGTGGATGATGGCTTTCCCCCTCCTTTGTGTCTCCCCAACAGCCCCCCTACCTATCTGGGGCCCAAAATATGAGAACGAGGCCTGTACCTTCGAGCTTGTCCACGTAGCAGTAGACATCATAGGTTTCTGATGGTGGGCGCACACCGTAGGTCCGGACCCCCGGGCTGCTGTCCTTGTCGCCCACACACGGGGTCCTTGGGCTCACAATGGGGTATCTGCAAAGGAGGGTGCGAGGGGCAGATGAGGGCCTGTTGGGGGCTGCTGGGTGAGGCTGGCTGGGGACTCGGGCAGGGAAGGTCTTTGGAGGGATTCAAACCATGAAGAAGCCCCTTATACTAGGCGCAAGGTTTGGGGACCCCTGGGGGATTCCTGGCTTCAGAAGGAAGCCCACTGCATGGAATAGCATTGGGTCAAGCTGGAAGGGACTGGGGGGCTTGAGGATGGGGGAAATGACCTAGGACAGTGGTCGGCAAACTGCGGCTCATGAACCACATGTGGCTCTTCGGCCCCTTGAGTGCGGCTCTTCCACAAAATACCGACTTCTGCGCATGGGCCACGAAGTTTCAATCACACTGTACGTGCACGCCCGCACGTGGTCTTTTGTGGAAGAGCCACACTCCAGGGGCCAAAGAGCCGCATGTGGCTCGCGAGCCGCGGTTTGCCGACCACTGACCTGGGACTTTAAAAAAATGTATTTTTATTGATTTCAGAGAGGAAGGGAGAGGGAGAGAGACATAGAAACATCAACGATGAGAGTGAATCACTGATTGGCTGCCTCCTGTACGCCCCCTACTGGGGATCAAGCCCGCAACCTGGGCATGTGCCCTTGACCAGGAATCGAACCCAGGACCCTTCAGTCCCCAGGCTGATGCTGACCTAGGACTTAATGCCACCCTCTCTGAATATGCTTCGATCCTGGGGGGAGCAATTAAGGGAGCTGCCAGGAGTCACTGATTAATTAATTAAGGTGCCTTCTCTGCCCTGGGTGCAGGGCCAGGCTCTGGCTCCCCTAGCCTGACCTCTCCATGTTGGGCAGGGGCTGGGAGGGGAGCCCGGCTGGGCCTTCACCTCACGGTCTGGTCCTGCAGCCAGCCGGCGTCACACTGCTCGTAGCCTGCTTCGTAGGCGGCCTGGAGCTGCTCGGGCGAGGCGATGACCGCCCCGGTGCGCAGGCAGGCCTGCTGCGCCTCCTCGAAGGTCAGTGAGTAGCGGGCAGAGCCGGGGCGGTAGTGGAACACGACCCCTGGGCGGGGAGGACAGGGAGAGAAGGAGAGACAGAGCGGGCTCAGGGCATGGACCGGGTGCCACAACGCCGGTGCCCACGGTGCCCGGTTCTCAAGGCTTTGTGGGCATGGAGGGAGCCCTGGCTTCTTGAGGAATGGCCTCTCTTCACCCCCCCCTTTCCTTCCCTCCTTCCGATCCTATTCCCAGGCCATGTGGACAGTGAAATTCAAATTCTATTTTATTTTTATTAAAACATTTTTTTTATTGATTTTAGAGAGAGAGGGAGAGAGAGAGAAACATCAATGATGAGAGAAAATCCTTGATCGGCTGCCTCCTGCATGCCCCCTACTGGGGATTGAGTCTGCAACCCGGGCACGTGCTCTTGACTGGAATCGAACCTGGGACCCTTCGGTCCACAGGCTGATGCTCTATCCTCTGAGCCAAACCGGCTAGGGCTGGCCTATTTCTTTCTTTCTTTCTTTCTTTTAAAAAATATATTTTATTGATTTTTTACAAAGAGGAAGGGAGAGGGACAGAGAGTTAGAAACATTGATCAGCTGCCTCCTGCACACCCCCCCACTGGGGATTGAGTCCGCAACCTGGGCACGTGCCTTGAGTGGAATCGAACCCGGGACCCTTCGGTCCACAGGCTGATGCTCTATCCCCTGAGCCAAACCGGCCTGGGCTGCCTATTTCTTTATCTGACAAATAAGAAGGACCGAATCATAGAGAAGAGGCTTGTCTTAGGTCCCGTTGAAGGAAGACACCCCCAGGCCAAGTTCTTCCCACCTGGCCCCCCTGAGGAGTGGGCACTTACCCCCTGGCAATCGTGGCTGCCCGGGGACCTGGGTTTCACCCGGGGCTGCGGTCACCTGCACCACCAGGTCCTCGCCGGTGAAGGGGCCCAGGCCAGGCGTGGACGCCCCGGGAAAGGCCCAGGGCCTGGTGGCCTCTCCAGTCCCGTTCTCAGCCTCAGGGAAGGCGGTGGCCTCTATGTCGGGGGCCAAGGTGAGGGGTTCCTCGGGCTCCAGGGCCGTGGGGGAGCCACCAAAGATGGGCTTCACCGTGAGGATCACGTTGCCCCGGGCTTCGCCCTCCGTCATGTTCCGGGGCAAGGGCAGCTCCACGTCGGGCCAGGTCACCGTCTGCACGGTGATGTCCTCTTCGCCACCTACCCCGAAGAAGTTTTCTGGGATATCGATAAAGTCTTCACCTGGGCACAGGGACAAAGGCAAGCGTTAGCCGCTCATCCTGGGCCTGAGAGGTGGGAGGTGAGCATCGGCGCCACCTCCTTCTCCGCTAGGGAAGGAAAGCACCCACTGTGTGCCTGGCACCTTGCTAGGCCCATTTTTGGGTGCTCGTCTAAGTGAGTATTCATGACTAGAGGCCCAGTGCACGAATTCGTGCACAGGTAGGGTCCCTCAGCCTGGCCCGCGATCAGGGCCCATGGGGGTCAGTGGGTTGGGGAGGGTCGTGGGAGGTTGGCTGTCAGCCGGGGAGGGATCCCAGGAGGGCTCCAGGGCGTGTCTGGCCCTCTCACCCAGTCCCGATTGGCAGGATCCCAGCAGCAAGCTACCCTACTGGTTGGAGCATCTGCCCCCTGGTGGTCAGTGCACATCATAGCGACTGGTCGAGCGGTTGACCAAACGGTCAGACACTTAGCATATTACACTTTTATTATATAGGATAGGAGACCAACAGTTTCCAGATTGCGAAAGAATGCAAAGCTGTCATAGCACAAGATATTAACCAATCATCTCACAGCTCCAGCATCTCTTCCGGGTCAATGCCAGCAGCCTGCTCACCTATTGGCTGAGCACCTTGCTGACCAGCCAATGGGGACAATGTAAATCTGCTGTAAAGGGAAACTGGGAAATCTCCGGAAGATGCGCTGACCAGCCAATGGGGACAATGTAAATCTGCTGTAAAGGGAAACTGGGAAATCTCGCGGAAGATGCGGGAGCTCAGGAAACGGATGAAACACGGGAGAACTACTGCTTCTGGCAGAAATGAGCCAGCTAACCATTCATGAAGAGACCACCCATAAGCGTGCGGCGATTTCGAGAAGGGTGGTCAGGATATGAAAAGGTCGAGAGAGGCTTTGGGGGAGACCCTAACCATTTTTGCAAAACTAATGCTTTTCATGGAAGATTGGGCTGTGGAGGGCAACGTGAAAGGAGCTATGTTACTGTTGCCACAAAATGGATGCAACTCTATATCATTCATTTTTTCTGTCCCTCTAAGAATTAGCGTTTAGTAGTAATTATTACCTAGATCAGGGGTGGGCAAACTTTTTGACTCGAGGGCCACAATGGGTTCTTAAACTGGACCGGAGGGCCGGAACAAAAGCATGGATGGAGTGTTTGTGTGAACTAATATAAATTCAAAGTAAACATCATTAAAAAAAAGGGTACGGTTTTTTTTTTTTTAGTTTTATTCATTCCAACCAGGCCGGATCCGGCCCGCGGGCCGTAGTTTGCCCACGGCTGACCTAGGGCCAGGGGGAAGGGAACAATGGGGACATTATTGTTTAATAGGTATGGAATTTGAGTTTGAGATGATGAAACATTCTGGAGAATGGACAGTGTTCATGGTTGCACAGCAGTGTGAATGTATTTGATGCTGCTGAACTATACGCTTAAAAATGGTTAATAGGGAAAATTTTATGCTAGGTATATTTTACCAGGATTTAAAAAAGTAAAGTAAACCAGTGAGATGCACCTATGAAAAAACAGTGGTACAATCTGGATGTACAAGGCAGGATGATGTCTTTTTGCTGTTATTTTCTTTTCATTTTTACCTATTTATTTACTAGCTACTTATTTAAAATTTACTAGATAAATTGTATCTAATATAGTCATTCTTAAGTCTTAGAGTTATTTCTTAGAGTTACTGTAGATATTTATATGTTATAGATTACTACCATAGGCCAATAGGGAGAGGGATAGAGAGCCAGAAACATCGATGAGAGAGAAACATCGATCAGCTGCCTCCTGCACACTCCCTACTGGGGATGTGCCCGCAACCAAGGTACATGCCCTTGACCGGACTCGAACCTGGGACCCTTCAGTCCGCAGGCCGCCGCTCTATCCACTGAGCCAAACCGGTTAGGGCTTGTCTAAATTTTCAAAATATAGCGCCTGCCAAAACTTTCCCCCACTCTTTTTTTTTGACACAATCCATTTATTTTTTCCCTTTTTATTGAATTTATTGGGGGAGATACTGGATCCCCCCCCCACACTCTTTTCAGTAACACGTTGACACTCCTTTTAAGTGAACCCCATTGCAAAGGCAGATAACAGTGCCCCCCTGTGGGGACATGGTCTCAATGTCAGGCCCCACCACCTTCTATGTGGTGCGACCATCTTCCCATTACCAGTGGTTCTCAACCTTCCTAATGCCGCAACCCTTTAATACAGTTCCTCATGTTGTGGTGACCCCCAATTTCATTGTTACAAATTGAACATAATTAAAGCATAGTGATTAATCGCAAAAACAATATGTAATGATCTATGTGTTTTCCGATGGTCTTAGGCGACCCCTGTGAAAGGGTCGTTCGACCCCCAAAGGGGTCGTGACCCACAGGTTGAGAACCGCTCCATTAGATGGATGAGAAAACTGAGGCTCAAGGCCTTGGCTTTCCCACGGTTGCACAGTAGCAGGTGGCAGACTCTAAAACCCATGCTTTTAACCCATTCTGGGCTCATGAGACAGGCCGGATACCCCGCAGCCTCCAGCCACTGTACCTTCGCTCTCCTAGGAGCCTGTGGAAATGGAGAACTGCGGCTAAAACATGAGGTTCAGGTGCCCAATGACCCCTTGAAGGGGTAAAAACCAACCCCCCCTGTTCCCAGATCTC